AAAACAAATTCTTTATTTTTTTACCTGTATAAGTCCTATTAATATACTAAGTCCGACATAGACAAAGATATAATTAAAATTGAATACAGTACGGACAGAGGCATAAGAATTAATATTTCATAACTCTGATTTATAACAATAATTATCTATGTTTTCAATAACAATCTCCTGTGTATGAAAAAAATAAAGTGGAAACAAAATGAATAATTAACAATATAAATTTTACATATTTCAAAGAATCGTCTATAATAATGGCTTAGATTTTCACTTTTAAATTTAAAAAATTATATTACGATAAAAAATATTTAAAAAAACAAATACTGCAAATAATAACTGATAAAACTGTTGAGATAGGCATATAATTAAACTAAACTAAGAATCTTCAAAATATTTTGAAAATATTAAAAATAAATTAAAATTTCAAAATTGTTTTATCAAAATTTGATAAAATTCTTGGAGCTAAAATATTCTGTCGTCAATAAATAAACGACACAGAGACTAAAAATTGTAGAAAAGATATCTGAAGCAATCAAAATTATATGTTAATATTTATAATATTTCTATTAATAATAATAGAAAAGGGGATTATAAGAGATTACAAAAATTATGTCCAAAAATTCATTTGAATGAATAAATTTGATTTTTTTTTACTTTTATAATTCTGATAAAAGCGAAAAAATTAGAGAGAAAAAAAAAAGATTATTAAGACAATCTTTATCACGAAGATTATCGCTAAATGTGTCACTGTTAGAAATAAGTTCATTCAATAAGTCATAAGAAGTCATTTTTCTTATCTAGAAGGGGGGAAAAGAATTACAAACCACAAAATGAGATAAAATTAATTAATACATCTATATAGTTTTAAAAAAATAAAGAAAAAATGCTAACAAAACAATATGCATTATTGCTATAACATACAAATCTGGAAATTTTTTCGTTAGCGAGTGTATAAACCAAAACAAACAAATGTTTAATTTTAACTTTTAAACATAAAAAGTAAAGATTTAAAATACGAGACTTTATGAAAAAGTTTTAAAAAAATAATAAAATCTTCAAAAGCGCAAAATATAGGAAAAAAAATCACGCGATCAAAGCGCCTCTACTGGCCAACCAATGCTTTATCGATTAGTTCACGTGATAAAAAGAAGCTCGTCAAAAGGCGTTTTTCCTCCCACTCGCAGCCTAGTATGTTCGGTATCTATCTTTTGTTGTTACCATTATATTTGAAATAAGATGGGCTAATTCGTGATGAGAAGGAAAACCGTTATTCACATTCTAAGTAGTTCATATCATGTAAGAATGGCAAATGATTATTTCAATAGATATAAAAATAGAACGATTTATTTTTGTCATAAATAACTATAAAAATAATATATAATATTTGTGATTATATTTCATTTTTACATAATTATTTGTAATATATAAGCTCTAAATAAAATTTTAACGACGAAAAAGCAACAGTTCTTTTTGATCGAAGTTTTAAATCTGTGGAGTTTTTCATTCTTTTTTCTTTTCTCGGTGTTGGGAGATTAGAAGAGATGTTACGCGGTGTACGACATTTCTCTGCCCTATACCCATTTATCATAGCAGGTACACCGTTTGCGTCAGTAATGTCTTCCCTTCTGCTGTATAATCAGCCACTTTCCACTTCTGAACGTCAAGTACAACTGACACTTTGTATAACGATACCTCCGCAAATCTACTACTTCTAAAGTACTTTCTCAACTCGAGAAGTTCGTATTGATTTAATTTTGAAAAATCCCGCCATTCATAAATATTTATATCAGTTATAAAAAAAAAAGTGGGAAAAATAACTTTTGTAAAAGCGAAACTAAAAATTTATCGCTACTTAAAATTCTAATAAACCAGTTTTCTTCAAGAGTTTGTATAAAAACATTCGTAAGTGTGATGGAATTTCGCAATAAAAATAAAAATTATGCTGAAAATCTTGTAAACAACTGCATACCAGACATAATCAATCTCTTTATACTCTATTCAATTTAAATTAAAACTCTTAGAATTTTTTTATAATCAAACAAAAATTGCGTTCTTTCTACCCTCAATGCAGTATTTATCATAGTACAGGTATAGTTAACGCGTTTCGGACTCGATAAAGTTTAATTTTTATTTGATTTACAGCTAAAACGCATTACGGGATAATGTATAATATTTCGTCTGTATAAAAATAATCAGTATAATCACTTATACTCAATTAAGAATTTATCAAAGGATAAAAAGCAGAACTCTATTTTCTATCCTATAGAATATATCGTAGGAAATAGGGCGCAAATGGTCACGGACCCCGAAATACGGGACACACCCAACTATCTACAATTACCAGGTCACGTGTCAGGAAAACTACGTCATAATTCTTACGTTTAGACTGTTTGGCGGTATGCGGAAATTAGCGGATCCACATCAAATATCATCGCATCAACTGTGACAAACGTCGGTGGATGAATAAATAAAACTGGAAAGATAACATCTCTTTCGCTCAGAATTTTTTATACTGTTTTCGTATCCGTAATCGCTTCAGTTATTTGTAAATAAATATTCCATTAATAATACAGACAACCGAAAACAAAACATTTGTGAAAATCGAATTTAGGTACAGGTGTCTTTACGTATGTTATTTAAACGTCAATATATTAAAGAAAATAAATCATATTTAAAATTCACATTATATTCTTATCTTTAAGAATATTCTCTATCATTACAAATACAGAAAGGTGTGCAATCCTAAGAAACATTCAGTCACGCGAAACAATAAGCTATTCGCTTTATTCGAAACAGATTTCTACGAAAAATGAATGCTAAAAAAATAATAATGTATACGTTATTTCAATTTTCTTATATCTGCTTTTACTGTATTTTATTTTTGAATTCGTTAATTGAAGATTAACACTAATTATACTTACACCTTTTGATAATATGAAAAGCATTTTGCGAAAATTATCATCCGGAAAACATAGTTTCCTTTTCTCTATGTCTACTGCAACTTCTTTCTTCGTGCGTGATTCTACAACTACCTAACATACTAACTATTCTAGTATTCTTCTCATTTTATAAATTTTAAAAGGTAGATTGTTAAAATTAATCTAAAACATAAGTAATTTTATTTATTTTGATTGTGTAGAGAGCAAGCCCAAAACTCATTTAACCGTGCTTTTTAGTGTTTTTCTTATACAAGATTGACGAAAAACACGATAAAAATATGATTAAGTATAAGACAAAAATTTAGTCTTTAGAATAGTTAATTGACTTTTGGGCCACTGTATATTTTTAATTATAACATCATAATTTTATGCTGCTTCCATCTGTTGGAAATAATGTAATCTGTTGGAAATAATGTAGACTATGAAAAATTCAACATTTATATAAAAAATTCTATAAACAAATGTCTGCATGTTATAGATTACATAATTGCATACACATCCTGTGTACAGTACTGTACATATATACAGTATAACGTTGTATAGTAACAAATTACTTTAAATTGTTTTCTATATTTTTATTATAGAATTTTAAAAATAATATTTTAACTTAAATTAGAAAATATTCAGTTTTTTCTACATAAATATTTACTTTTAATCGTAAATTTCAAATTAGCTAACATGCTTCAACACCTGTTTGTCTGATGTACTGTACAGTACAACTGTATTTACAGAGCTTTTGTCTGTTAAACAGTTAACATGTCCTCGGATTTTTCTCCATTGCAAACAAATACAGATAAAATAATTCAATATAATACAATGGAAATAAATGAAGATCAAAAACGTAAGTTTAATCCCTAATAATTAATAGTTACTGATAATATTTGTTAATAAGTGATATTTAACTTAATTTATTTTTAAAAATATTTAAAAATTAAATAATGGTATTAAATTGATTTAAATATGATATAATAATTTAAAAAGTTACATAAAAATCAATAAACATATAACCAGAAAATGCTTGAATTTATGTTATTTGTACTTTTTTTCCTAAATTTTTTTCTATTAAAGCATTATTTCTTGTTTTACTTTGTAGAGTTAAATATTAATTTTTTTTTAATAAATATATAGTTTTGTTATATAAAAAACAATATTTTTTAAACATATTTGAAATGTTGGCTTAAGTTCAAAATAGTCTTTTAAATGTAGTTCAAGACTAGATTATATCTCAATAAAGTATTACATTTATTACTTTTTCTTAAGTTTGTTTATGATTCACATTGTTTATGTCTTTCTTAAACATTTAAAAATTGTTTTTAATCTAAAAATTGTCAAAAATTGAATATAAAAAGTTAAAATTGATCAAATACAAAAAAAAAGAAATCAACCAACAGATAAAAATATAAATGTCAAAATTTGTATTTAAAGTAGAAAAAAATCAATAAATCCTGACAAAAATTAAAATTTCTTGTCTGAATTTTATAATATTTAAATAAATATTTTATGCTATTTTATTATTGATTTTCTAAAAATTTTTNAATATAAATAATAAAAGTATTTTCAAATGTTGTATTAATTTAAAAAATTACAGGCGAAGTAAATGATGAAAAGTACAAATGAGGGCATTTAAAGTACGGGGTCTGCACTAAATGATATTAAAGTACACATAAAAAGGCAATTAGTTTGCTTTCTCAAATAACAGTCTATTATGGATAGTTTTATAAGGACTTTTTTTTTAAACAAGCAATTATTATTATAAAAAAGTAAGGTTATAAGAGAATATTAGTGTTGGCGAATGGATCGAATTGATGATAGCCCAAGCTGGTAATGTAAACAAAAAAACAAATCAATTATTTCTCTCGGTTTTTGGTTAGTAAATCATAGTTATTTCTGTGTGTTTACTCGTAGAAAACTCTCATTCCGTTAAAAGGTACGGTTACAGGTTTTTTTCCCTCCCCCCGAGTGTCGGACCGCTTCACTATTCTTATATTAAACTGGATAAGAACTTAAGAGAAAATATTTAATGAAAAAAAAAAAAAGATAGAAATTTGGAATTTTTTTTCTCACCTTAGCAACTTGGAAGTGTTCCGGTTTAAGACTTTCTTCGATTTCGCATTCGGATTTCACCGGTTGCGTTACGGATAATCGCAGACCATCTAATACCCCTTTAAAAAAACCCCCCGTTCTTTTCATCTCGTTACGAGGCATAACCACACTATTAACATTTCAAATACATTAGCATCATCATCATCAACATCGACTTCGTCAAATCCAAATCAACCATCTTCACAACACCGACCATCGCGAAATGGATTGTGGGAGAAATCGATAGCTTTAGTGTGGCGCCACCTTCGACTGAGCAGACGATGACGTTGCCTCATACAGTATTTACTTCCACTTTTAGATACCAGATGTCGCTTCGAGATATATATAACACATAAATGACTTGCACGCAGAGTAAATGTCGCATTGATAAAAATCGTTTAAATGTCCGTATTTTATATTTTAGTTACGGATTAAAAGTTTTTTAAATTATTATCTCTGTTTATTTACTAGTTATTTTAAATAAATGTATTACGTATAAAATTATCTGCAGCATTATCAATTATTTGTATTTTTATTATACTGTATTTAAATATTGAGATATAAACTGAACATAAGGAAGAAAAATTTTTAAATCACAAAATTGTATTATTTTTATTTTTTAGAAAGTAAAATGAGAACTTATAAAAAATAATCAAAAAAATATAATCCAAATGATTTGCTTCAATGATGCAAATAATGTGAAGTAATGTATAAAATTTTAGTAGATATTAAAAAATAAGGAATTATTCATATNAACGAAAATGAAAATTTGCTTGATAATTCAACTACGCTTGTTGGAGAACAATAAAAACACTACACTCAACAAGCCACCAATAAAACTCAACTGCCTAACCTATAACCAAAGTCTCCTTTTAATTTGTTTTTAAAAAAAAGCGCTTGACAAACTTGCCCCGCATGCCGAAGTTGCCCGGTCTCCCCTATATTTTATATATATAATTTTAAAAGTTTAGATAATATTTATGCAAATTTTTCATAAACAAAATTATTAAATAAATTCCTACAGACTTATATTTAAAGTCCTTATAAACAACTTTAACTCATTAATTATTTATAATAAAATTTAGGCTTTTAAAATTTTGAATGAAATTACTAAAATATAATATACTGTACTATTTTTACTAATTATTTTCTATACAATTCATCATCTTTTACCATGTTTGATTCATTTTAAACATGTTTTTAGTCTTTACAGCGGTGAACTGACTTTTGAATCACCCGAAATCGTAAAATGCATTTACAGTAATGTGTTTTTCGTCTACAGAATTGACAGAAATGTGATTTTTTAAAAAATAAGTGTGGTTGAATACTCGAGTAAGATAGCGATTTAGGCTTTACAGTGTTGAAATGTTGACTGACTTTTGGGCCACACTATGTACCTGTACTGTACTGTAAATAAGACATACTTTTCGGATGTAAATCAATGACATTTTTTAGAATAAATAGGCAAATTTGTACATAAATAACATCAGGAATTTTGGCATACTAATTTTGAAAAATGTTATAGTATTTATATTGATATAACATTACAAATTTATGTTACGTCAGCAGATAAAAATTTGATATATGCAAAATTATTCATACCAAAAAATTAAATCGCATTAATATATTTTTATTCATACTTCTAACTTTATTTAATTTGATTATTCTTTACAGCATTAAATAAAATTTAAAAAACATTTATATTTGTATTATTAAGAAAATGCGTTATATATATAACGTGTTAAGCGAAGTTAATTATTATATAACAGAATGGTCAATGACATTAGTTACAATAAATTCCTCGATAACATTTCAAAACATTACCTTTATACCAATATCAATATTACAGTAATAGTTTCATATTTCAGCGAAATTATATCTATTTTCTATTTACATAGTATAATAACATTTACAACTCAATAATCAAATAGATATAATAAGTATTATAAGCAGTTATAAAGATCCATATTTAGATCAATATAATTGAAGATTAAGTTCGTAAATTCTTGAAATCAATATTCCGATAAAAAGATACACCGAATAGATTTTACTATAGAAAACAATTTCTTGGTTACACTATTAATACGTGGTTATTTTCTATTGAAATTCTACAAGTATGAGCGATGAAAATGTTTTTAGCCTATAGAAATAAAAACAACTTCCCAAGTAGAGGAAAGAGAATTGAGAGAGACGATTGCTATATTTATTTTAAAAAAGTAAAAAAGTAAGACAAAATGAATAATACAAAGAATTAAACTCTAGTCTGTAAATAAATAAATCATATTTAGGCCTAACACAAAAGAAAAAATATTGAATAGATATTAATTTAGTTCATATTACAGAGAATTCGTATTATATTACTCTATAGTGAAGGAATAAACTCGCATTGGTTTTTAGTTAACTAGGTACTTTGGACTACAGTAGCCCCTCGTTATATCGCGCTTGTCGGGGACAAAGAAAAAGCGCGATATATTCGGCGGCGCGATGTAATCAAGTACTAAAAATTCTGGGCTTTTACTAAACATATTATACATGTTATGGAATCTCTATTCTCTATTCTTTCATAAGTAAGTGTAGTTTTGCAATACTGAATTTTATACATGGTTATATCATATTAATTGATTGAAGTTTACGTAAATTTCGATACAGTGAACGCCCATTTAGCATTATCTAAATATATAAAATTACTTGTCCTGACTGACTGACTGAATGACTGATTCATCATCGCCCAGAGCAAACCGCTGGACCTAGAGGTGAAATTTGGTACACAGTTAGGGTACGTCATGAAAACGCGCACTAAGAAGGGATTTTTCGAAATTCTCCCGCGGGGGAAGAGGGAGAGGATTAAGGCTTAACCGGAAGAATGGCTTCTACTGTACTATTTTAGATGCGATTTTTTGTTTTTATCTGCGTTTTAGTAGGACATGCCATGGAAATGCACACTATAAATATTTTTATTTATTTCGATTTTTTAACCAATGTTCGAACCGTTTTAAATTCGAATTTGTTTTTGCATATTGGTTCGATTATAGAACGATTGTAAACGTTCCAGAAAATTGATTAAATTGAAAACAGTTCGTTTGATTCTCAGCAATTCTCGTCATTCTCAGCTGTAGGTATTAGGGGAGACCGGGGCAACTTCGGCATGCGGGGCAAGTTTGTCAAGCTCTTTTTTTTAAAAACAAATTAAAAGGAGACTTTGGTTATAGGTTAGGCAGTTGAGTTTTATTGGTGGCTTGTTGAGTGTAGTGTTTTTATTGTTCTCCAACAAGCGTAGTTGAATTATCAAGCAAATTTTCATTTTCGTTGAATTCCATATAATATTTTGCTTCCATTTATATTGAATTGGCAGGTTTTGTTATAATTCCATGATAACGAAAGTTACTTTTCCTGTTAGGAGGATGTAACTTCAACTTATTCACGTGGCCAGATTGTGGCTTGGCATTCTGTTCTCAGGGTTGTACTTAATGTTTCGAAATGATGACTAGCGGGGTAAGATCGGCAACATAAAGCCACATTAGAAGCAAAGGATAAAAATCAAACAGATGATAAATGAAAACATGTTTGCATTTGTTATTCATGTATATATGTCTTTGAACTTGCATTTCGTTGTAATAATATTAAATGGGTGTTGGATTTGTATTTCTTTGTTTTAATAGTGAATTCCAACTTATACATTGTTAATAACATAATTTTATATACGTGCCTATCTTGCCCCATTACTGTTGCCCCTATACCAGGGGCAACTTTAATAAAAATAATTAAAATAATTACAACTTTACAAAAAGAGAGAAGTTGCCGATCTTGCCCCTATACCCGGGGCAACTTCGTCAATTTCTCTCTTCTTGTAAAGTTGTAATTATTTTAATTATTTTTATTTCCAAACTGATTTTAACCAGTTCTATAGTAAGGTAACATTCCAATAGACAATATGCAAAGCTTTTTTTTCAGTTTACAGCAGTATTTATTACACAAAATTTAAGTAAAGCTTAACATGCCGATCTTGCCCCGATCTCCCCTATATAACAATTACTATGGTTGTTGAAATACTAAATATAAATGGGGTTTGCTTGCAAAATCTTCGCGGGTAAAGCCGCGGGTAACAGCTAGTTGTTTAATAATGACATTTAAAGACAAATACCGTCGATATAAGAACAAAATATCAGTTGCAATTTTATTATACAGTACTATATTTCACAATAAATTGCTTATTAAAAATTCACGTAATTTACATTTTTCAATAAAAATTATAAATACCGTAATCGAATATTTAAAAAGTAAATATTGAACTAGTAAATATAAAGTAAATATAGTAAACAAATTAAATGTAAGAACATCAAAAGTTATAAAATTACAGAGTAAAAATTCTCTTAAAAGCAAAATAAATTTTAAAAATTTTACTGTATAAAAATTTTAAAACTTTCCATTCAAAAATAAAGAAATATTTTCCTTCCACAATACACGGTGAATTCAAAATTTCATACCTTTATGTGAATTGACGTTGCTGCATCAATTTCAAGTTTACAGAAACTTATAAATGAGAAGACAGGACTTAAAACCAATAAATAAACAACTTTTAATATCAAAAAGGTAACATAATCCAACTATTTTGCTAATTTAGATCTTGACGAATTTATTGTTTTACTCGCAGTGGCAGTTTCAAGGACAATAGTAAGAATAAGATACCTCATTTCGTTACAAAAAGTAATTCAATGGCAATTGTTAATTTAAAATTTATTGACTCAAATGATTTTAAAATTTAAAAACAAAAAAAAACGCGCGACATATCCGAATCCGAAATATAACGATGCTCGATATAACGCGAGTCTACTGTATATCCAAACTAATATTCTAAAAATAGTTTCGAATATTTTAAAACCATTTTCAGAATATTAGTTTTAAAATATTCGAAACTATTTTCAAAATAATTGAAAACTGATATATTAGAAAAATACTTTATGACAAAATAATACACTGCTGGCCAGGTAAAATGCAACACTTGCAATCAGAGGCGGCTTAAGGCGTGGGCGACGTGGGCCACCGCCTACGGCCTCGCGGTCTGAGGGGCCTCGCGCTTCGAAGGTTTATGTATTACATAAAAGTCGTGAACGCAACGAAAAAATTTTACTACTAAGTCATAAAACGATAAATATGTTGACATACCAAATTTGTTTTTATTTAGTCTAGCAACATTTGCTGGAGTTGCGTTGCTATAGCGGGGAATCCTTGTCAGCCAGAGCTGGGGATTTCCCATTGTGTTTGTTTACGTTCTTTTCACG